CTATATCTCAGATTATCTAGGCCTTGGTTGACATGTTAAAAGATAAGGTTTATGGCAGTCCATTTAGAGAATAAACTGAATAAGTGTGGCTGCTCTGAAAAATAAAAAACATTTGAATTGCTCCTACTGAACAAACAAGACCGAAGATGTTGATCTGTGGTTGTATCACACAGTGCGTGGTAGTTTTCCTCCAAACAACTGTCAAGCACGGTGGTGGAGGGATGCAGATTTGGGCTTGTTCTCCCAACACAGGGACCGGCGCCTCCTCTGTATTTTTTTTTTTTAGAACTTCGAAATGTCAAACGTGAGTCTATCTTTGACGGCTAAAGTTCAGCTGATGTAAAGAGGACAACAATCCCAAACGCAGCATCGAATCCTCAACAGAATGGCTGGAAATGAAGAGACGTTTTGCTCTCGCATGTCCTCTGAGCTTTCTGTCTACAAACACGCGGTGAAACTGTGTCAGGCTAATGCAGCTCTCTCCACCGAGACACAGCACCATTTCCATAAAATGCTACGTCAATCTGAACAATTTAAGAGTTAGCGCCACATAAGCAGTTCGGGGTGTTCCCCGTTTCTCACTCTCACTCAACTGGTAAAGGCTTAAGGCCCCCTCCCAAAAAAACCCTGATGAGGATAAAGTAGTTATTGAAATGTTTGGCTGGGTGGACATCTATTATTCATAGACTATTCCCAACAGCTCATATACTGCATACTCTCACAGCTGGCTCCTGAATTCCCTTAAGATTAAACAGGATGAGGATCTGCATCCCTGTCTTTCTATGAATAAGTCATTGAAGGAAATTCGCATGCATTCTAAATGTAAGAGACATCCTCGACTGAGATCTACAGCGATGCTCCCTCCTGCTTTTGTCTCCGAAAGCTAAAAAACTGAAGCTATTATAATAATCTACAAAAACAAATCATGGAAACAAGTATTCAAATATTCTAATATATTTTCACTGGAATTTCGCCCAGATGTCCTCTTACCTAGTGTTTTCCTCCCGGGAGCCCCCACAGCACTCCGAGGCCAGATGGGATGCATAATCTCTAGTGTGTTCAGCGTTTGCCTCGGTGTGATCTTCCGGTTGAATGTGTCTACACTCTAAGTCAGAAAAAAACCAAAGGATCAGACTGCAAAGGAGCAGCAGGAAAGTCCGTAAACAAACTGGGAAGGAAATTTAATTGGATTTGTTCAAAATATTTTCATCTACAAGCCAAAAATCTACAGTCTTTGTTAAACACAGTGCAGGGTGTAGAACTTTATTTAGGTAATGCAAATCCTCTATTTTCCCCCCTAAACTAAAACGTATGTATAAGTTGTTTTTTTTCTAAAATCAAAAGCTGCAGACATACAGAAAACTTTACGACCCGCCTGGCCTGGAGCTCTCTTTTACGGTGCAGTCAGTGTCATTGTGAAAAGAACTAATTGGATAAAATCGCAAAGATATCAAAGGGTGCCACTGGAACTGCAGAATATTTACGGACGAGCCACAACGCAGACTGACAGGAAGCGTGTGAATTGACAGACTGCCTTAAAAACACACAGGGACTGTGTTCATGTCTCTGATGACACCAAACAGCGCGCTGCCTCTGAAGAACAAAACACTTCGGTTTTTCTCCATCTCACTTTTTGAGGGCTTGATAAGAGCTGAGAGCTGAAAGGAGACATGAAGGCGTTTGTGTGGGCTGCTGGAGTGTGTGGGCTAAAAGCATCAAGGGTCCATAACGCAACACAAACAAAAGATGGAGTCAGGAGACGCCACATGTTGGCGGCAAAAGCAACGACTAGATCTTTTTAAGTTCATTTGGACAACCACAAGAAGTCGGTTTCAGTATTCTAACACATTGAGGTACAAGTTATTGGATAAATATGCTCCATTTGTTTTTGGTTTTGTTCTTTAAAAAAAAGTAAAAGTCAGGAGTGATATTTTACCACAAAAGCAGTGTGATCTTCACATCTATATTTTCCGTGGTATAGCTTTTTTTTTAATTTAACATGTTTCTATAGACCAAAACAGCCCCACCAGGCACGGGAAAGGGCCTTTTGCCTTTTTAACAGGGGACTTCAGAATCCTCCTTTAACTTTGACAGAGAAAATACAGCCAGTAAAAATGTGGGTGCATTCTAAAACTTCCCCATTAGGAGTCACTAAATCCCATAATCGTCTAATTTCCATCTTACTGCTTGTTGCAAACCAACTCCAGACATTCTCAGAAAAAGAAAAAAAAAACAGCCAATAGCAAGAAACCAAACAAAATTTTTTTAAATATTAGGTGAAGATAAGAGATGAAGAGAAGAATTTCAACCTCAATAAACAAACAGAAAAGAAAAGGTGAACTCTGGGGAAAAAAGGGCTCGTTACTCACACACTGCTGTTTTATAAAGGGTATGTTATTTTTTTTCGTAATATTACCAAGGTCTTTTTATTTTTTTCATGTCAAGATCAGAATTTTATTCTTGGCTTTTCGCAAATGACTCCTACAGGGGACAGAAGCTCCGTGTTAGCCCTCATTATACATTTACTTTCCTCTGTGAATCCCTCTGAGGAAGCCTGGGTCAGTCGGCCTGCGTGTTTTCCCACCTGTAGCAGATGACTAAGATGTGGCCTCCTCCGCAGTGACATCTCCTCTGTACCGGCATCACCGTGACGCTGGTGCTGACCTCAAACAGCTCCGGGCATCGCTGCAGATGGGCCGAGGAAAGAGCGTCTGACCAGCCTGTCTGGGTTTTTTTTTTTTTACACGACACAAAGCAGATACTTACCTTTGGAAATTATGCAATTTGTTGAAATCCTTGAACTCTTTCACACATTAGTGTATAGAGCATGGATGAATGGTAGCTAACACAGGGCTCCTTTTGTAGGCATGACGACACAAATCTCTGCAACTACCTCCAGCCAAACTGTGTCCAAGAAAAACTACAATTATTGTGATGATAATAATCATGGCAGCATGGACAGGGTGAAATCAAGCTAAATGATGGGGCTTCTTTTTGCTACAGATGAAAATTGCAGTAGCTGTTGGTACAAAGAACATTTTCAAATTGACTTTTTTTTCTATCAAGGAAATTTTCAGATGATTCCATATATATCTATCCTTACTGCTGCTGCCATCTATTTAAAACTGATTTACAAATGTCACCACAGACATGTCACACTAACTGAAGTGGATCTGTTTTGTCTCTTGTTAGTGTACAAATGTTTCTGGGAGGATTTTTCATTATTTGTTTGATTTTCCCACTTTTAAAATTGCTTGTAATTTATTCCATCATTAGAGACACGGTTTTAAATCATGATACACATAATGTAACTGACTCAAAACTGAAAATAATTCAGCTAGAATGTTCAGCTTTTTCTCTGAATAGAACCCCATTGGTTTATAAATGAAGACAAGAGCAGATCTATAGTTTGGAGTTTAAAAAAAGAGTTGAGATCAAAATCTTATCCAGATTATCTTAAACCTCAAACACCTGAATATCACTGATTTTGGAGTCCATGATCTCAATCAAGTGAAACAAGACTATCTTCAGATAGTTGTATGTAGTCAATATAACATCATCAAGTATCCACTGCTTAAAAAATGAAAGGCTTTTACTGTTAAGGGTCAGAAATGTACTTGCGGTTTCGGATAAAAAGCTCTGCTATACTGTAGGACTAAACATGAGAGGAAATGCAACTGAGATGGACTCTGGCTGTGAGAACAGTTAAAACGCAATCAGCTGAATCAATGAAAGGAGGAAGAGCGAGAGCCTGCGGCAGCCACAGGTCAGATCCCAGTCCTCTCAACTGCTCCTCACTCTGCAGTTACTCACTGCAAGATACAATCAGATAGGAGCTGTGAGGAGACAGGAGAGACAAATCCACTTTTCCCCCTGACTGAGAGTGAGCAGTTATCAGAGTGAGAGCCGGTGCAGAAAACATCAGGACAACTCATCTCAAGTAGGCATCGATAAATCAAGAATTGCAAAAAAAGTTGTGGCAGAGGAGCACAAGAAGAGCACATCGAGCTGAGCATAGCATTTATTTATTTCTGAAACTTTAATACTGTGATCACTGCAAATGTCTTTTTCATACTTTTACATTTTACAAAGACAATGGATCTGGGATGTAAACAGTATTTTTCAGTCCTGGAAAACTTTCGGTCCTTTTAAAATCGTGTGCTTTTATCCTTCAGTGAGAGCTGATCGTCTTACTGTTGAGTTTGTTTTTCCAATGGGAGCAAGTGGAAGGGATGGCGACACAGTGGTGCAGGCTGCATTTCTGAGCTCTGTGGAAACATTCCCCCCCCCCGCTGCAATCACCGACCCCGCTAGCAAAGTCTACATCCAGCCACTTCCTTCCCGATCACTGATGTTCGCGGAAAATTTTGGTTCACATTTTGTGGCGTGAATGAAGCACCATCCTGTCTTTGACAGGAGCTGCACTGGCAGAGAACCTACACAGCAACATCTATGGACAAGATTGCACAGGAACGAATCGATTCACCCTTCTTGTATCCAAGACCTGCAAACACAGTTAGTTCTATTGAACATTGTGCAAAGGATCTCAATAATAAGATATTACAAAAAGGAACTTTTGAACATCTTAACTTTCACATTTCCTTCTGTCTAGCAACAAAAACAAAGCAGAGGAGGAAAGAAATCTATATGAACGCTAAAATAATAAATCATTCACATCTGAAGAACTGGACTGGCTTACGTGTGTTTATGCCTAAGAGACAGCTGTCAAATTAACAATGCACACTAGAACATCTGCACTGCACATTTGGCCATACTTCATTTGAAATACAAAAACCAGAGCACTTTCCATGTACAATAAAATATGTTACACTGCCATCAGTTAGTTAAATGTACTTATCAAAGCATCCATGTTTTTGTGGACAGAACATCAGCGTTAATTGCAAAACAGTTACAGTCACATCTTAGTGGACTCGGAACAATGCTATCAAGATGTCTAATTTTTCCAAAATGTCTTCAGGAGTTCACACAATGGGTTGAGCGCTGCTAACATTTTATGTGTAATTGCTGTCCATGGCAGGAGATTCTTAAAACAGAACCATGACTCTTATTAAAAGTCTACTCACATCTGCAAAACTGCAGAGTTGAATGAAAACACCGGCTTTGATAAACATCATAGTGTTTAGGCTTTTTTCCCCCCACATTACATTCACTCTTCTTGGTGCTAATCTGCACTATTGCAGGACTCCAACTAACAGACTTCAAATTTAAGAATTTGTAAACTGGGGGCCGGTAGAGAGGATAAACACCCTGACGTTGACACAAAAGGTTTAATGGATTTGCTGAAAATGAGCTGAATCAACGTAAACACTCCTGATGAGTGAATAGCATTGTGACTCCAGCACTTGTTCAATAAGGGCCCGTCGCTGTGTTATACTCACAAATCAAAGCAAAGACACACAAACTCCACAAACTTCACACAAATCCGCGTTCATCCTCGTCTCCCTTTGCCAGCCCGGCTGATTGTTTCCAGTTAGGACATGCATCTAATGCACCGTAGCCATCTCCCTGTGAGGCTGAGTAAGCTACTTTGAGAATGAACCTGATTAAAAGTTACGTGTGCGAGGTGGGTGTGTGTCACTGTACCAGGTGTGCTTATTTTTCAGGATGAAGATGAAGAGCCTTCCCCTTTTATCTTTTCACCAGGTGCTGTTTCAAAGGCACATCCCTGCTCTGCCTGGGAGTAAATGACCAAAAGAAGCGACTGGAGGCACGGCTGGACGGGCTGATGTACATTCACACAATGAGAACACACACGCTGCCAGTGATGCAGCACCTACTGTGGCTCCCTCATATCATATTCTTTCATTCATGTTACATATGCAGTTTCTCTATATTTCCTAAAAACATCTCCTTCCAGCAAAAAAAAAAAAAAAATACTGAACCTGAGGAAAACTGTAGATGTTATGCACAAACAACATCCACACAAGAACTGCTCCTTTAACTAAAAATCAACCTTTGATTGTCTCTAAAAGCTGGTTTCTGATCCTTGTTCCTGTTCTGTACGTTTGTGTGGCCTCGTGGTTGATGTCTGACGGATCTCTAAAGAGGCTTTGAAAAAGATACAGAGTGACAGGCAACACATTTACACATCGTGACATTTTCACTTGTCACCACTAGAGGGCACTGTAAGCAACACGACGGCAGGCATGGGCACCACAAAACACAACATAATGCAGAATAAAAAGCATGTTCTCAGGCTTTAGGTAGAATTAGGAAAGAAAGCCATTTAAATAATACAGCTAGTGACCACTTGTCTTGAAGAACTAAACACTAATGTCAGTTGTATTGTACGAATAGAACAACTCATTTATTGGAATTATAATACAAGGAAATAAATTAACCCCAGAAAAGGAAACTGCAATGCCTCCCTCACAAATTGTCTTTGTGATTTATTATCAGCTGGCTCTCTGTATTCCAGGCAGTGGGATGATGAGCAGAGTCCTCACTTTTCTTTTTCCCCCTGAGCGCAAGTTCAGTGGAAAAGGACAGATGCTCTCGAGCAGCAGTTTCTTGCAGGTGCACCCTCCTATTCAGCTTTTCCCACTCCAAGCTTCTTTATAGGGATAACTGTCCCTATCTTAAAGAAAAGATAGGAGTCCTTACTTCTTCCTATTGCTTTTAAGACACATAGAACTGGAATGGACCAAAGCACCCCGGAAAAGTCTCGTTTCGCGGCACTACTTGCCAATGGCTTAAAGTTACTCCTCTTTTAGTGGTTGTGCTGTAGGGACATGACGTAATCCAGATCTGAGTGATAGAGGAGGAAAAAAAATTAAATAAAGAAAAACTGTACAAACAGTTTCCCTCCTGAGCAGATGCACATTGACCCTTCTTTACATCTGAGCCTGGTAGACCAGAGATTTCAGCTTTTGCTCAGAGAAAACACAGACGCTATATTTGTTTACTCCATTTTCATGAGAAGGAAACAAAAACTTCCTCTGTGTCCTCTGATGTAGTGGCTTTACTGACGGATCTGAGCGTACCTCTGACTTTGTGTGGCATTTCAGAGTCATCTTCTTTTAAGTCACCTGCATGTCTGTGAGACCGCGTGCTGAGGCGGCCTTGAGTTTCAGAGCAGCTGGACATCATTAAAAAAAATATATGTATAGCAGGAAAAGAGCCAAGGGCCAAATTGAAATGTGAAAGGCCTAATATTGTCCTGAAAAGAAAAGCGATTCGACTGAGAAAAAATGTTGAAAAAGAAAGGGTTGATTCTTTATTTTTACCTTTGGAAAAATGGAGGGGTTAAGTTGACTTCTTTGGGAAAAAGACAGAGGGGAGGTGCTTTCCTTGTGTCTGCAGTTTTGTTAAGATGACTTTAGACTGATCAGCAAGGAGAAAATGCATCATCCAAGAGCTCATGACTGAGACTGAGATTTTTCTTCTGTTAATCCTCAGAAAAAAAGATTCTAAGGTCTCTGCTGAGATCAATGGAAGGTGATAGTAGGGTTTAGCATTGCGCTAAATGAGTCAAACAACAAGTCTCAACTTGATCCCCTCTGCCTCTTCACCCAGACTGTGTGTGCCCATGAGTTGTGGGGCAGCTTGTGGGAGCTTAAACCTGGTGTCAGTTCATGTCAATGGTGTTGAAAACCCACTCGGTGAACTTCTTGAGCTTGGCAGCAGAGGTCTGGGACTCCTCCTGCAGTCTCTGATTGTCTTCCCAGAGCCTCTTGATCTGCGTCTGAAGACGCAACTTTTCTTCTCGCTCCTACAAAACACAAAAGGGCCAAAGTTAATCTTAAGATTTTTTGCATGAGAGGGCAATGACTAGCCAAGTAAATTAGCTTGAAATTGCCCGTTGCACATGGGTGAAGGGTTGAAAACGGGATCAAACCCCATGAGAGGGATGTTTAGTTGCATGCTTTGATTGGAACACATCATCCACAAAATTGCAGCAACACTTAGTCCTCTGCAAGTCAACCATTACTTTCAATATAAAAAAAATGGCAGGCCTTGTAGTCAATTGTAGCTTATAGTAATTAAAATAAACACCACCTGAATGGTGTCATGCAAATTCATCTGTAGTACCGTCACTGCATAATTAACAAAGCTTTTTAAAGTAGTAACAAAGCATCCAAAATGAAAACCTCTGTGGACTTTACATGATCGTATTAGATTTTACTTAGTGAGTTTAGATTTTAAAATCTGTGACGAACGACCAGAGTAATTTCTTAGCAAATGCATGAAAAAAAATAATAAAAGAACCGAAGACTGGATATATTCCATCAGTCACCAGCATCTGCAACCAGCAGAAGAAGCGACTGAGGGAGTTCAAAGTAAAAGTTATTTTTGCTAATTTGTTGCCACTGTGCACTAAAAATGCATCTAACGTAGCATTTTCCCCACATCTCATTGACAGGTGAATGTTTCTAATGAATTAGGTAAGATTTAACTACCGGGGTAGGAAGGGAGGAGGGGGGGGGGGTTCAGTGTCAAGAGGTCAAACTCATTAAAAGTCCACAGAGTCAGAAAGTGGCCGCACAAAGTAACTTCAGAAGGAACATAGGACTGGAGCAGCAGGGATCCCATTAGCCTCACAGCCCGGCAACAAGGTGACAGATCTGCTGTGCGTGAGCACCACAGCGGATGAGCTCAGCATACAGAAATGCACCTTGATGCTCATCTTGTGCGTTAATAGGCTGCATAATTCTCTCTCATCAAAAGACCAGCAGGTGCATCAGAATGTGGTGTCAGTGCTACATTGTATGACCGACAACCTTTTTCTGTCAGAAGGTTTCCAAAAACGATTTTCAAAAGTTACAGCAAAGAAAAGATGTCCGTCACTCTGAGTGTCACAAAACACGCGTATGTTTCTGTCCATTTCTGAAGAAAATATCTACACAGGTAAATATCACTCACCATCTTGAGATAAGCTCTGTAATTTCTGATGGAATAATTGTGTCATTAATGTAGCATGAATAATGCGAATAATATCTGTGGAGTTCAATCATAAGACAATCTGCCTTTCTTACATTTACAATGGTAGAGCATTAATCTTTTTTGTTCATATCTCATTGTATTACAGTGACTTTTGTATTCAACAAAGCTCTAAATTGTCTGTCAGACCAAAATATTTCCTCCCTCTAATCACAAAGGATTAAAGATTTCTTTAGGAAAAAATTAATCTTATATTACAGATCAGAGTGTGTGAAATTAAATTGTGTTCATCCAACCAGAAATCAGTCATGAATATAAAGCCCCACAACACGTTTTAGAAAATTAAAGGGAATATTTAATCAGAATAAGCAATCTTTTTTATAATTTTGCCACCACTTAATAACTCTATTTAAGCTCAGAGGTAAAGATATGCACAGACGGCCTGATGTGAGCTTCCATTGGTAAAAAGCTCTGACGCATCATGGTGTCACTTCAGGCAGAGCTGCGCTGAATCTCGGCTGGTGCAGCAGATGGGTGGCAGCTGCAGCGCCCCACCTGGGCCACCTGGGCCACAGTGTCATGTGACAGGGTGTTCTCAGGCACCAGCAATGGTCGGATAAGGTTTCAAACAAGCCTTCGAGTTATTCATGAATTACGAGTTTTGAGCTGTGAGGGGTCACAAGTCCTTTAAATAATTCACGTGTTAAACTAGACCAAATATAAAAAAGAGATGCCATACAAGTTGAATCAAAGAGTGTAAGGATATGCGGAGTCGAACTAAAACAACAGTGGTAGTCGCAACAGCCGAGGTGTTTTTTACAGTGAAAAGCAAACATTTATTTACACCCCTGCTTCCCGTTTCACCACACATGCAGATCAGCCAGGGCTTTTGGTTGGCAATGGGATTCTCCAATTCTCCAGCTCAGAGCAGAGTGAACGTCTACATGGAGAGATGCAGCCAATCTTTGTGATCAGATGAATGTGTTCCGTCTCACCTTCTTCAGGTCCTCCTGGAGCATCTTCACCATGGCCTCTAGTTTGGTCACCTTCCTCTCCAGCCCGATGTGACCCTCGCTTTGGAACACAGGATCAAGTGTTAATACAATCAGCCTCAGAGAACGGATAAAAGTGCTCATCTCAAACACATTTTGTCATTTAAATGTAATAAAACAGTTTAGTCTAGTTACTTCCAAACTGACTTGTTCTGTATATACAGAAAAAAACATTAAATCTAAAATGACGTTACCTGGATGAGGGCCGGGACAGCGGAGCAGGCTGGAGTTCGATGTGGGGCTGCTGAGGACTGGAGGCCCCGCTGCTTCGGTGGTTTGAATCCCCAAAGACATAACTTCTCTGGACTAGGAGGAAAAAGAAACGTTATTGACAGATAGATTTGTGCGTTTGTGTTTATGTATCAAGAAGTCTTTTATTTGTTCTTACTATAATGTGTGTTTCTCTCATTCTCAAAGGTATTGGCCACATCCACCAGGTGTGTCCAGTCCAGAGGGCTGTTCCTGTCTGAAGATGGGAGAGGCATCAGCTCTTGAGGGAGAGGCCCACGATGACGCTCCACCAAGTCCACCAATGATGTGTCAGATGCTGAAAGGTCACCTATTGATTAAAAATGGGAAAGGTGCATTTGCAATCAGAATGAGGCGTCCGATTCACAACAAACACCACATCCACCACACTGCCTTTCAGATTTCTTTGGTTTTTCTTTTCAATATAAATAGACTGCAAACATTAACTTAAATGTATTAAACTAGCACTGAAAAATTTCATGGATTGAGAATAATGTTAACCAGAGTTTTAATAACCAGAGTTTTAAAAATAACAAGATGGAAACGTAAAAAGTTCTACTGGAGTAAAGCAAATATTTGAAATGGTCAAAGCAGCATTTTGTTACACACAGATGTTTCCTTTTACCATGCAGTTTGACTCCCAGCTTATAAGAGGGCCGTCTGAGGGGCACGCCACGGGTGGTGGGCGAGCGAGGAAGGGTGGAGCAGCTAAAGAGAACATCTGTGGCAAGTGCCGGTTCGGTCACCGAGTCGCTCAGCGAGGGGAGGCGCTGACCACGGTAGATGCTCTCGTCTGACAGCGTGCGATGGAGTGAACGGCGGCGGCTCAAGGGCTGGCCCTGGGGCGACTTCTGGCCATGCTGTTCCAGGACGGGGCGGTGGGGACAGAGTAAATGTTGGTTTAAAAATTCTTCAGCTGCTTTTGTTTCACTACTAAACAAATTAACTGATTATTAACTAATAAGTGAGATTTAAGTAACTTATTCTCAACCAGTTTTAAGGATCAACATTAGCAGTAAGTTAGCAGTATAAACAAAATGCTAAAAAAATTAATTTCGACCTTGAAGGAGGCCAGGGTAACGTCATAAAATACTAATTCACAACAAACAAAAATAGCTGAAAGTGCCTTCTAACACACATTTTGGCCCGATGTGAAATAAGACTATAAAAACAATATAAGTACCTTTTCCTTATGTTTTCGTGGGGGTGGGGGACTGTCGGGGGCCCCGTGCCTCTTCATATCTTCCTCTATGGTAGATTTTGCATGAGGCTGGGGGGAGTGCATGTCTCTGAGAGACGGCCTGGCTGCTGGGGTAGGAAGCACATCTCCTCCACTTTCCCCTGGAGATTTTCTAAAACAAGCAGATTGAACATGTCAGAGACATATCTGTATGAAAACCTTTAAATAAAAAAAGATTTAAAAAATGTTAAAAAAATCAACCCATGCTCACAATGGTTAGTTGGTGTTAACTTTTATGGGTTATGTTGAAAACATTCATGCATTTGTAATTCTTTACAGCGCCACAAGGAGGTAATCAAGTAGCATCCATATTTTTTTACTGGTGGAAAGAATTAGCAGAGAAGAGTGGGTGGATAAAATGTGATAGCATGTAAATGTTTTAAGAAATGTGTACTCTCATATGCCAGAGCTGCAAAGAGTTAATGCAGTACTCACTTAAGACTTCTTTAAGATTAAAGAAGACTTATGTCAACATTTAAGTAACACCGAGACACACAAAATGTACTGTGGATTCCATTTTGATTGTGCATGACCTGCTAAATCTGTACATTTTATTTAATGTAAATATCGTTTTAAAATCAAATGACAACAGACATCCTAGGATCACAAATGCTTTGACAGGGGCCAAACCACCTATAACCTATAGTTTATATATGGGTGTCATAATTGACTTGAATTCAGTGGCTGGACTAAATGGATTCAACCTAATGGCTGACAAGAGAGTGACTTGAGAGGGATGCTTCTTTGTGAATGCTGCACTCCTCTAACGAACAACGTCATGTACTGCCACTGTTGCCACACACAAAGCCATATAAATTTAGACTGTTCTCGTCTGTGGTTCCACACTGATGAAATAAGCACCAAATGCTTAGTGGTGGGGTGTCCCTTCCAATCTTCAAAAATCTCTCAAAGGACTTTTGGGGTGTCATACGCTAAGCCGACAATTGGCCGTCGGCAATGTCTGGAGAGTCTTTGGCCATCTGTCTCTATCATCTTTTAGGAGTGTAACACACTGTTGGCTCTGCTGGACCCCGTTTGGGTTTTTCTCAGCCAATTCATCACGTTAAATCATTATCGGGTCGGCCAGTGAAAGGCACCGCTCTGATTGTATGTCCCGTCTAGTGTTTGTTGTAAGTTATCGTAACTTTTCCTATTATTAGAGAATATATATATGTATGTATGTAATTTATATATGTATATAAATGCAATCCTTGTAACCAGTATATAGGCTATTGCTTTGTTTTAAATCTTTTCTGTGAAATCCTTTACCATGCAATCAATTGATAAACAGAACAGCTGATCAGATTGACCCATCACCAACAGACCCAGCGGGTATTCAATATGTTGAATGAAAACATTGATGCCTCCAACAGTGCAGACGATGCATAATGACCGTGTCATACCCTATGGCACATTGTTTGCTGTATTACTAGGTGTTGCATGCACTTCAGACTTATTGTCCAAAGCAGCTTTAAAGTTGCTTTATTATTTATTTTGTTTTTTACTAGGTTTTATTAATGTTTTCTCACTTGCGCGTGTCTCCAAAGTCAACAGAATTGATGGTAGAACCAGGTTTCCTCCAGCCAATCAAATACTTGGACTGAGCTCCCTGGCGGGGATAGAAACTCTTGGGCCCAGGGGACACTGAAGACTGAGATGAAGGGGAGGTCGCTGAGGATGATGACTCCTCTCTGGGAGAGCTGTGGCCAGAATGCCTGCTTAAACGACAGAGGTAAGAGAGATTGAAGACAGAGTGGAAACGGCCTTTAAAGATTTTTCTGGTGTTGTTTGGAGCTTTGGATTCTTAGAGAAGGGAAATCTCAATGTCTCAGCCAAATATACTGAGTAAGTCCTCAGAGAACTCTGTCAACCAAGAAATGAAGATACATTATTCTCATAAAAATGGAAACTTTGAGAGTACACAAATGCTGCCTAAATGGACAGCTGATGCTTAAGTTCAGGAATGTAACAATCTGAGCTGCCGAAACTCGCTTCATCAAACTGGAAAAGTGGCCACTGGAGTTCCCACAGCTTTAGACAAAAATTAGGACATGTTTTCCACATTTCCTGAGGCCTAATGTGGAAAGATAAGAAGGAATTGAAATGACTCTTTATAAGTGGTTTCCAGAAAAGCAGCAGGCTGACTAGTATGCGTTTTCCTTGTTTGAAGAAATATTGGCAGGAGACACCGGGAGCAGGAAACATGCTGCAGAAGTCAGACGCATACTGAGATGACACACAAGATGGATTAGGTCAAGTTTAAAGTAGAAACAAGTTAGTCATAAAAAGGGCCCCACAGATTACAGACCATCCATATTGTATGCTCCCTTAATCCCATTGAGGATCACAGGGGGCTGGAGCATGCATCAGGTGTGGGTGAGAGGCAGGGTACACCCTGGACAGGCTGCCAGTCCATCGCAAGGCCACAAAGAAACAGTGAATTTGGTTTGAAACATCAGATTTATGAAATACATTTAATTTTCTCAGATTTTTTTTTTTTTTTTTCAGAAGTTGTAAAAAGCAGGAAGCATTTTACAATTTTCAAGGAGAAAGTCAAAATAATAAGTACAGACACAGCCTGCTTAGATGACCCCTGCCTCAAGTCTGAAACTGCTGGTAGAAAAACATCTCACTGTTTAATATAAAAAAAAAAGGATTAAATCTGGTCGGTTTGTGAGAACAGGTAAATATAGAAACTGCTGTCTGAGTTAGATCTGAGTTCATCTATGGGGGCAGTAGGGGTGCATACATGCTGAAGTATAGCAGAAGTACTTGAGGTTAAAAAAAACAGCTTTTTAAGCATAACATTACAACCATAAATCACTGAACTTCATTTGATTATCTGCAGGATTTCCATGATAGGAAACGCAGTGTAGCGTACACATCTATTCACATTTGCATTAAACTAAAATGACCACCAAGGTGTCTGTGCAAAAATAGCTGCCAATACTGACATCTTTAAGGCAAACATTCTTAACAAAGACTGACCTTGAGTGTAGTCCAGCCTCACTCAGACTATAGGTACTGCTGTCTCTGACCAGAAGGTGAGTCGGTGGGCTTCGGCCTGTGGATTCCAGGCTCCTCTCTGCTGGAGGGCCAGGAGACTCTGCAGCAGCGGGTGACCTCTCGAGCATCCTGCGCCCCCCCTCGGTTGGACTGTGCCATGGAGAGCCCGAGCGCTCCCTGCTCTCTCTGCTTCCACTGGGAGCCAGCAGTGAGGTGGTGCTGCCATGATGGGAGTGGGGGTGAGAATGATGTGGGCCCCCATAAGAGCTGGTGTCAATGCCACTGTCAGCGGAGGCACCCTGGAGGTAGCCTCCTCCTCCCAACCCATTGGGTTCCGGCTCCCCTTGATCAGCACTTGAGCCTCCACCTGCCCCCAGTTCGTACCATTTGTCGCTGTCACTGTGACCTCCACTAGAAGCTGTGCTAGATAGAGTGTTGCTGCTGGAGTGACCCGAGTAAGGGCCATCCGACTGCCGGGGGCAAAGAAAAGATTAAAGAACAGGAAATGAGAGTTCAGTCTTTCTATATCAGAGACAACATCAGTTTTTATGTAATCTGGTGATTCCACATGACAAGATTGAAATATCATATGATGCTAAAAAATATGACTTTCTTATATAAACTCATTTATTATCAGGACAAAGTTCAGTCTACATGCTGGCAGAGATTAGGATGTTCAGAAAGAAATCTGAAGGGTTTACAGTGTTCAAGCTCTACTGCCAGGACTTCTGATGCTGGAAGGACACTTCAAAAGATGATTGTAAAGTCTGACCTGGCTTCCCTTCTTTGGGGATATGTGGATGACTTGCTCTTGTCTCTGGATGCGGGGAGCTCCCGAGTAGCCCTGACCAGACTTGGCAACTGGAGCCTCTGAAATAACATCAGACAAACTGGGGTTGGTGAGACATATGAACGGGCCCCCGTAGCCAAACACATGAGTGGCTGACAATTCAAAAGATCATTTGTGTGTGTCTGTGTGTGTTTTGTAGCCGCAACAGCATGCTTACAGGATGTTCACACTATTCCTACTGTTTTTTTAGCATTTGCCTCATACATTGTACACATTAAAATCGCCATCACAGAAAAGAAAAAATGTGTCCACTGCCGCTTTTATTTGCTGTGAGCAAACTGTGCTGCCTGAGAGAATGTACATGTGAGTCAAAAAGGAAAAACTCAGTATAAATGGGATATTGTGTAATTGTCAAATTATGCAATAAATGTAGAGAGCATGCAGTGAAGGGCCACAGCAACATATGGGAGCTGGATGCGATTTCATTGCATGCGTCTTGTAGGGATATTTATTACTCTGCATTCTTGTACTGACGTCCACATATTTCTGCATGACTTGGAGATGGCAGCACATGTGTATCCCTGCGCGTCAGAGTTCCTGCAGTTGTGTGTTGCTACGTATCTGTGTTGCCTTTTCTGTCTTATTAAAATATCTTAGGCTAAATACGGTCAAATTGTGGTAAACTAAAAAGAAACTAAGCATAGAAAAATAATGCTAAATATCACCTCCTGCTTTAATTTCCATGTACTGAATGTAATACAATGCCTACATACACTCAGCTGCTGAAGAGACAACAGCTCTGTCAAAAACTAGGAGCAAAAATGAGTAAACTGCCCTCTGCGTGACTTTTGTTTCTCAACAGCGCCTGGCCACATCATCATCGGAGAACACTAGAGGGTCATGGGATAAAAGTGAGAGGAAGTGGAAAGGACAGGACTCTAAACCACAAAGACAGCTGAGAGGACAGTGTGGAGTTGGACTCTTGGCTGACTTCAGCCGGGTTGGCTCGGTCTGCATTGTTCCGCCCAAACCAATTACGACATAAGAGCTACAAACAACCACAAAATGAAAGACCGAGGCCTTTAACTCTGATTGTGGTGGTCAGAAACAGCTCGAGGACATGACTGAAACTAGGCTGGTCAACAATCAATCAAAGCAACATTCTGCTGGGAATCAGGAAATAAGCTGCCTTTGTGGCTTTCATAGACTGAGCGAGGACAAAAATAGAAAGCCCTTGAAAAAAAACACAAGAACACTTGCATTGAAATTAAAGGGATGTTTAATAGACAAAAAGAAGAATGAGACACAGACATAAGAAGCAGTGGAAAAATGAGGAACAGAAAGAGGGAGGGAAGAAAATGCCCACCACGGTAGTGACTAACTTAACTGGACTGAGAGGAATGTCTCCCTCATTTTTCTTTAATAATAATTCAAGAATAAAATGGAATATGAGAAAGAAAAATCTATTTACTGTAAATAAGAAGACGTTTGAATACATCCAATAAATATTTTCCGTATCTCATTATGTTTTCCACCTTATGGTTTGCAGAGACATTAAGACCTTCTCTGTGAAGGCAGCTGGCAAAGGATAAGGAGGAGGAGGAGGAAAGAGAGGAGGGGGAGATGTTAGAGGCAGTGAGGCTGCTGTCAGAGTTTGCATCTTAGAAGCTGTTAGAAAAAAAGTCACTGGCAGATGAAGAAGGACACACAGGCACCATTCATACACTCTTCAATATACCTGTCAGTTCAAAGGATTTAGAGGCAGGGATAACGATGGAAGATTTTTTTTTCCGGCTGTCTCTCCCCTACAAAACTCAACTGCTCCAAAAATCTTTAAATGCATAAAGATGCCAATTTGGATACACAAACAAACACAACCTTACACAGTCAAGAGAAAAAACAATAAAGACACTATCTATCGAAAATAAAATGTTTCATGTTGGGGGGGATTGCCTGGTTGTTACCAGGTAATGAAACAAGGGCAGTGCAGCCTCAGATGAACAGTGCATGAGATATTACACTATCCCATTGTTTAAAAGACATTAAGGTTAAGTCAGGTTTAGGGATGTGTGAAAAGAACACCCCGCCTGCATCCATCGGAATTAAGAACATGAGTCACACCCAGGTGCTGCTAATCATGCAGGTGTATATTAAGGCTGAAGAATAAAGCCATCAGCCGTAATCCAAGACTAGTAACTGGTGCTGCCTATCAATTTGGGAAGGCTCATAAAGTCTTTTTAAAACATTTTGGAGTCTATCGTTCAACATCGTAATGTATTATTCAGCTGTGGAAAACATGCCAGACATTTGTCAATCTTCCCAGGAGTGGATGTTCCAGAAAGTTCATCCAAATGGCAGAACATGCCATTCTCAGAGAAACTTTAAAAACCCAAGAGCTACTTTTCAGGTCTCAACTAGCATGTTAATTATTAAAGTAGGAATACTGAACTGCTCATAGAGATGTCATAGAGCACTCATACCTGTTGACCCCCTTTCAGCTCCTCCACCTTCTTCCATTCTAGACCAGTTAGGCGTGGACTTTCCACTGGACCCGCCCTCTCCAACCACCTCTCGTCTCTCTGTGGACATTGGAGAATGGCGACTGCCTCCAAACCTAGTGGACCAAACACGCAAATCGGAGGCAGCTCTAATTTACATCATTTAGACACGTTTCATAGATACGAGACACATAAGCAGCTGGATAGCATAGTGGTAAAAACTGCTGTCTTTGGAAAAGCAGGATCGGGGGTTCCTCTAAGCCTCTAAGCCTACCTCAATTGTTATTATTCGTTTTATAAGCATCTGCTAAAAAAATTTTTTTTTAAAAGATACAAAGTACATCTCTTAAACACTAATACCCTGCACAACCAAAACTGTCAAATTTCTGATATTTCGAGAAATAGGAATCTTAATTCAACTGAGCAAAACACTTGTACATGTAAACAGCCTTTAAAGCATAAGTTGAAACATGAATTACTCTTACAAAAATGACAAATTACAGATTTTTTTTGGAGCTTTACATATTTTCTGGTCTTCAAAGATTAAAAATGTATGATGATTTACATCTTTAATGAAAACAAGAACGAAACTGCAATCCCCCAAACCAGCTTAAAACGAATAACTGCATAAAACTAAATGTGGATGCTTTGAGTATGATACATGGGACAACCCCCCCATCCTCCTTACTGCTCAGGCATGGATTTCTGTCTCCAGTGAGCGGAGCTTCCAGAAGCATCACTGGAACAGGACAAGTTGCTTGGAGAACTGCGGTTGTGAGGGGAACGGCCCAGAGCCAGGGAAGAGGCCAGGCTGTAGCTCTCACTGCCCGGAGACATCCTGGTACACAGAAACACACAAACAGAAACTGTATGACTTCACCTGTAACCACAACCCACATGTTAATGAAATCAAACACCATATAAGCAAAGCATCAATCCGTCAGACTTTCTGTGGGTTGAAGCTAAAAGGCTCTAACCTCTTTGACTCCAGCGGCCGGCCGTCGCTGCTCACACTGCGGGGAATGGCAGCCCCTCTCTCAAGCCTCTCGGCTGACAGGGTCTTTCCCACGGAGCTGCCCAGGCTGATGGCCCGGTTGGGTGTGTGGGGCTGCGGTGAGGCAGTGAGCGACTGCTGAGGGCTGCTGGACGTCCGCTGCCACTTATTGTTGTTGCTGCGGAAAGGAAACTTGTATTCGAAGGAGCCGCTGTCGCTGCTGCCGCCCTTATATTCTGAGGCAGGTGCTCGATAGAGCTCTGAGCAGCCCCTGCAGAAGGAGAAAACATGGTTTTGTGCAAACTAGGTTCACGACTAACTCTGAATTTCCAGCATTTTTCTTGAAATAGCCTTTCTAGAATGGCAACGGACAAATTCTGAGGCTCAATCGGCGACAGACCGGCTGCCCCTCTGAACACTTCTTATATAATGTCTATGACTGTGAGACCCAACCACCCACAATTTCCTCCTGTACCTACCTGCGTGGAGTGGCATCATCGTGTGGTGGGATGATGACAACGCGCACTGTCACCGAGTTCCGTAGGAGATCAATCATCTGCTCATGGGTCAGAGTTGCTACCGCCACTTTGCAGATTTCGACCAAACGGCTTCCCTGCCTCAGTCCGGCCTGCCAGGCGTATCCGTATGGTTCAACCTGCACAGGACAGTTCTTTCATTTCCTTTAGCAGGAAGCTTGATGGGTGTCTTCAGAGAGCAAACTGGATTATGCAACAGTAAACTGGGATGGAGATTCTGCTGACTTTGTTCTCCAATATAGTTGGAAAGTGACAGTTTTCATATCATAAAAATAAAAAGATACCATGTTTTAAAGGTCAAGACTAAGACCGTCTTGATGGAATTGTCAAATTGTTACGACAACCCAGGTGAGATCACATATTCTGACATGAAACCAAGGATATTATGAGCTAAAACTGTGGTCCAGTCCAAGCATAAACAGTGTAGTAAATAGTAAGAAAATAATCACCCAGGCAAGTTTTTTTCTTTAAGGGTTGTTTTCAGTGGCACAAGTGTGAATTTGTATAAGGTCAACAAGTGCCAACACATAGAAAAAGCAGTGTTTGTAAGAATATCCACAAATGTGTGGAGAAGGCCTGAGAGGTGAGATGCAAGAATGTTCAGTTTTAAAGCATAAACAGACGACTAGAGCGCAGAGTATAGATACACCTCTTGTTATTCAATGTGTGAGTTAAAGTCAGCAGCAGAGCCCTTCATCAGAACAGGAATTACATATTTAAATCTGTCACGTAAGCAAGTCCTCTCCCAGCACGTGTCACTCTTTAAGAAAATATAAGCCATTTCAAACATAGACCAATACCTCAGCCACGATGCCTTCATAGTTGACATGGAAGCCAAGCTGACCCAGGCCATTTCGACGTAGTGTCATCTCTGATGTCTCACAGCCCTTGGTCAGTAACTGGATGCACAGACATACACAAAACACCGGTGAGAAACGACGGGAGTCGGTGCAGGAAAGACGAGTGGTAAAAATAAGGAACCAAAAGTCAATTATCCTTCTTTGGACTGAATAAAAATCCCAAAAATATCTCTCTGTGCAGCTGTGGAAGAATATGTTCAGTGCATACGCAAACATCTGTCCTCTAGTTGAAGAAGGTAGTCTTTTAAACAACGCAGGTGATCCCCAGGAGATTTCAGGGCACAGAGTTTGAACTTAAGAAGTGCACCCCTCAAAAGATGCGTGTGCATGCACGCTCGGCAGATGATAGAAATGAGAGCAGATGTGTCTTCTGCTCTGACACGAATCAGTGTGAACACAGAGAAACATTCATTTGGAGAAACTTTCTTAAACTCTGATGCATTTTTGTGCAAGTGGTCGGCGTGTGCTATAAAGGAACTCCTTTTTTTTCCCTCCACCCTTTTTTTACATGAAAAATGCACACACTTTTAAGAGGAAAGAACCTGGGCTAGAGGGTAACCTATGAGTTGACAGACAGTCTGTTGAAACCAATCCTCACTTTTGAGGGGGCACAATCCATCCCTGTCTTTCTCTTTTTAGTGATGCACCTTCTGACATCAAGGAATATTTGTATTTCTGTCTCAATGTGGTTTATGCAAAAACTCTCCAGACGTCAAACGGCAGATAAGCTTGAATAAAAAAATGCAGCAAAATGGCACCTGATAAGAATTCTTATTGCGCTGATTCTTCTGGCTTCGTATGTGAGAAAGGAGCAAAGCAAAATAAAGAAGGAGGTGATAAATAATAATTAAAGGAAAAAGGGCTCTGGGCAAGCAATGACAGAGAAATAAAGGGTGAGAAAAAGTCATTTAAAATGAGGAGGTGGTCCACGGTTTGTGTGTTTGGCACAGAGAAAGTAAATGGACTGAAAATTAAGGCCAGATGCATGGAGGCTGACGCGTGATCAGCTTCTGAGTACTGAGCCATATCATTGTGTGTTCCTGATCAAACATGCCTGGATGGCTGTGCACAAATCAAACAATGTGGACTAAATGCAGGTTACATAAACAGGCGACAATCACATCTGCATCCACACACACATACCTGGGCGCCGTTTGCAAGTACAGAGACAGTTGCTGGGAAAATTAATGCATTCTAGAGCGCTGACGATTACATAAGAAGACACCTTTTTCTATCCTGACCAGTTTCCATGGAAACAGCAAAGAACCAACTAGCATCACTTCACTGTATGTGTAGGTGTATGAGCCATTAGGAGAATGCTGTCCAGAGGTGTTTCTGAAACTCCCTCAATAAACTGAGGCCGGTGAGAAGACAGCAGCCCGGAATGTGGAAGTAAAAATGTCATTCTGGCAGTCTGACAACCAACAGCATAGTAGGAGAGACTGAGTGGGCCAGGTAAATTATTAATGACAGCCAACTGCATTTTCTACTGATTTGTTTTTTTTTTGTATGATTGTATTCTTCACATGAATGAATATTTGCCATCCAAAAATTAAACTGCGTTTAGGATAACTGTGTTTTCAAGATATCTTCCTGTTGACACCTAAGAATCAATTTAAGATACAATTTAGAATCAAAGGAGGCTACTAACTAAGCTAATTTAATTTTGATGCTTCGACTAAAACAAGAAAAGGGCCATTTGTGAAATCCTAAAAAATGAGTCTGGGCGCATATATAACGTGTTCTCTTACCTCTAGACGTTTGACCACTTCTTTAAAATCCTCTGTATTATTACTGATGCTCCTTAGAGAGACACTTTCTCCTCTCTCATAGAAAATTTTCAAAGATGCAGGACTGCCAAGTGTCCACCCAATCACATCCTTTGTGGCACAGTTGAAAACCACAGCCTTGGCCTCCTGGTCCAGCAGGATGAGAAAGTCATTGGAAATAGCCAGCAGGGCCTCCAGTTCCCCTCCGTTCCCATGATCCTCTGCATGAACTGGCCAGGTCACCGCCCCAAGACTGCGCAGCTCTGCTCCTCCATACGGCCGACTCTTCTCTTTCTTTTTATGAGCTAAGGAAATGAAGGGGAACTTTCCAGAGGGGTCGATCGGCGTGCTGGTGGTGTGGCGCTCAGCCAAGTCACGCAGGTACTCCTGGCGTGTTCGGGTGGCCATGGCCCGGAACTTGTGTGATTTGTGGGCAGCATTTTCTGCATTGATGACTTTGGCCAGCAGGAAGTCCCTGAACACAGACGACTTGGGGAAGGTCACACCCTCTGGGATAGGGGGACCAAACGAGGGCACGTCTTTGGATCGGGTCACTGCCACACTGCAAGGCAAAACACCAGAGAGAAAAATAAATAAGATGGTGGATGAGTAAGAGGAGAAATAAATGTAGCCGTTGGTTAACAAGTCTGTTCCACTTGTATTAGTTTTGTTCAGGCATTAAAAAAAAAACAACAACTCAGATCTGTGACCTTATTTACCTTATTTAAAAATGAAGTATTGTTTATTTCTTGAACAAACTTCTGGATCAATACATTAGCTGAGCGGAAAAAAGGCATTTCTACTTATATTCTTTCTCCATGTCAAAACTAACACTTGGTTTCTTTGGTTCACCTTAGTTCATTTGACAAAGCTATGACTGAATTTGCATGGAGCTGTGCATTTTCCTCATTGCCCCTTCCTATTCAGTCTCTTGAACGGCTAGCTGCCATGTCTGGTATCTCAAGAAGTCAGCTGGGCAGCAGCGCAGAGCAGAGGATGATGTGGAGAGACTACTAACCAAAACCTCTTGCTAAAAGTTCCTTAAATGCTACAGTGAGAGTTTTAAAAAAAAGTCTGGGAAAGGAGACTGTGTGGACTCACATGGGGTGACAACTGTTTGACCAAAAAGCATTCCTCCGAGTGAGACAAAAATACACACAAATGTTGACCAAGTCTGGAATGCTAACTGGGGCAACTAAAAGGTCTAAAGTGCTCTGCTTGTGCATGGGTCACCTATCCCAGTCTCAACCTCCTGTCAGCCAAATGAGTCCATCACAGATCCTCTCACTGGTGTTAATTACCAGGTGACAAGAGTAGCACTGGGAGTCAGAGCCCTCCTCCCACACGCCTCCCTACTGACAGGCATCAGCACACATGTTGACACAACAATTAATCGCATTGTCTAATAAGAAATACATGTGTCACCCACATCTTTCTAAACATATCTAAGGGACACCCAGTCCTCACCGGAGACATGTGGTGTTCAATTATACCAGGCGTCAAATTGTTGACACCTAATTTCGCACCTTTTCCTTGTTTGTGACAAACTGAAATGCAAGCCGGAACTTTATGTTCTGCTTAAAATGGGCTTTTAGACTGAAGACAGAGTATTTGAGAAATAAATGACAAAAACAGTTAAGAAGTGTGTCAAAATGTTTGCATGTCCCCTTATGGTTTATATCTACATAGAAAAAGGGAACAGGGAACCACATTGTGCATGTATGTGTGCAGGAAACACAGAAAAGTTCATATTTAGGTGCTATCTTCATAAATCTCAATCTTGTTGCAAAATTTTGGCTGACAGCTCATGAACATGAAATAAACATGTCGTTTCTATATCTGCCTGCATTTCTGTAAATGCGAATGAATCATGCAGGGTATTTTGGAGCAGAGTAGGTAAAGTGGCTACAAGCAGGCTTAAATAAAATGTGACCTTTAAATCTTATTCTTCTACATCACTACAAACATCACTCAATGTATTATACTGGAGCTCTGAAAGCACTTGTTCTGATCTCAAACACCTGTGAGTCAGTCAAATAAGAACCTTTGAGTCATGCTGGCCAGAGAAAAGTGATGGAGACATGTGGGTAGGGGCATAAAAGTGAGAGAGCCAGACTGCACACAAAAGAGTGAATGGGGAAAAAAGGGAGAATAGATGAAGAAGGCTGGAGAGGGTGGGGAGAGGAGGATGTTGAACAGTGGGGATTGCTAGGTTGTGGCCTCTGTGTGATCGTCATGGCAGGAGGTTTGGCAGGAGAAATCAAAGAGCAGATTCCTGTGGTTTGAGTGATTTGTGGGCATAAAAATATCCAGTGTGTGGGCAGTTGTGTTTTTCCAGTATCTATGACCTCCTGCCCACTGAGCCAGGCCAAGAAAAAGAACATGTCAATACCTGATAGAGTGGGAGGCTCAGAGGTGGATGTGTGTATGAGCGTGGATGTAAAGACATATACAGTATGGAGTGATTTTCTTTTCTTTTCTTCTTTTCTTGTGACATAAAGAATAAGACATTTTTAAAATCTTGGGTTTGCGCAGTGACCCTTTTGCCTCAAAGGTCACGGAAAATGTAACCATCAAATAAGTGGTATGAAACATGTAATACTATTGAACAGAGAAAAGTCATGTTTCAAACAATGAAACATGTCAATGCGGGAATTAGGATCAGTAAAATTATACTTTGAAAGGCATTGGCTGCTTTTTCACATGAATAGGATAAGCATATTGTAACAAAAAACTTGGTAAGGAACCAACTTGAAAATCTATAGTCGGCCACTTTGTTCATTTTAAAGCCTTTATAAGTAGTATGTTTGTCTTCATTTGTTGCCTGTCCAAAAATTCAAAATGTATTAATTTTACAGGCAAAATCATAACAAATCCCAACACATGGAGTGTGTTCTTTAAAAAGATTAACAGGGACGAGTTAAGGACAAGACATGGCAGGCCAGATCTAAAGGAGATTAACTGTATCTGTAAGAAATGTGAAAAAAGAGACCTGAGAGTTGCATCTAGAACACTTAACACTTTTCATCATTTGGATTCTGAGCAGGCGGCTGTAATAACCAATAAGCAGGCAGTACAGTTTATCCTTTCATCTTCAAATGCTTCAAAGCAGGTGGAAACCAAAGGGAGTCGAGAAGGCTCTCCGTGCCCACCTGTAAAAATGATCCATTTATTGTGCAGAGCAAAATGATACAGAGCAATAAAGAGTGTGCTTCCCCGGCCATGTGTGTGTGTCCTTGTTGTCTTTAACCTAAGAGCTATCGCTTCAAAGCCTTTAGTAACCGAGTTTACCTGATCAAATTTCCTGTAGTCACTATGAATCATAATTTATTCCAGAAACCTGCGGTTTTACTTGTATCTCGACTGTGTAAAATTCTTTTTCGCCAGACTTTGTTCACATTCAGTCTGCTGCTAGGCTTGTTGCTCACATGTGTTAGTGCTGCTATACAGTAATGAAGTGCCAGCATGGGGGAAAATTAGGACCTCTTACAATGTGTTCAGATACCAATTAAAACTGCCATTAGTGGAGTCAAAGAGAGCGAGATAAGAAAGAATGACAGACTTCCAGATAACAAGTCAGAGGTAGAAACCTCAAAGAAATGTCCTTTATGGCTGAATAGTTTAAAAGGGAAACGGAGGTATGGCCGAATTTTAATAATTTCCTTCAAATTACTTCAGAGTGGTAGACTTTGTTTTAGATAACACTGAAAATCTGAAAATGAAGTCAGAAATGGAGAGGTGGAGAGAGGGATACTCGCAATACTCCAAGATGGAGTGACGGAAGGAGCCAACTTTTCAAATCAACACATCAGAGCAGCTGTGAAGGATAGATTTATGAGTAATAAGACATGAACTTTCCATGAGCATGACAATGCTCATACATTTATCATTTATCAAGACGTTTTCAAAATGCAAAACACATGGGAAGATGTATGTATGGTATAAGAGGAATAGAAAGGAAAATACTAGCTGTGTAACTATTTTTCTTTCATATCTGCTTTTTAAAGTTCCCCTCCAGGCGCTGATCCATTCCTTAAAAAATAGGCTCTGACTTCCACTTTCCCAGTTTAACACAAATGTCTCTCCAGAAAAAGGAATTGTTATGGTGAACTTGGTGTGGTGCTCCTCACCTGTAGGAACAGTTGTCAGAACAGGGGTTGTGTGCCTGCACAATCACAAAGACGTGCTGGAAGTGTGAGCGAATGTTTTTGGGGGTGAAGGGGACTGCCCCGGGTTCCTGGAACACGATGGTGACAATATCATTCCCAATATGGCGCTTCCGTAGCAACTGGGAAGGTTCAAAATGAGAAGGAAAAACTAAGTTAGTTTTTCTATTACAATAAAAGTTTTACAGACAGAAACTCCAGTTACCCTGTAAAAACATTTTATTCTAAATACTCTAGATAGATTTAAAGCATTTTAATGAAACTCATACTGCTGGATCACAGAATGTGTTTAACGTAATTTTGAATACCTGCTGCTTGTTGTTGGGAGTGTAGGGCAACATGGTGGACACGTGGAACATGATCTCATAATCCTTGTAAGTGGTGTACAAAGAGTGAGTGCCCGTTGAGTCAGCTGAGGAGGACAGAATTGCATATGACTTTCTTTCTTTCTACTAATTTCTTACTACACCAATTTCATCACAACATCAAATTCAGTTTGGCCACTCTCCTCAGGTGTGTTGGTCACTAACCAGATTGACAAAAAGAGACTAAATAACATGCGACTAAAACTATTGTTTCTGAGAATAAAATCCTTTAATATTTCTTTCAAACTAAAAAAAATATCTACTCTTTCCTAAATCTTTCTTCATGGAAATCGGCTCCGTCTTTAGCTCTGGTAATAAAGAGAGCCAGTGGACCTTACTAACCACGTCCTCCTTGTACCGATATGCTCAAGTCCATGAGCAAAACAGTCACAAGGTGCTAAAAGGGTCACGCTTCGATAGATTACGCCAATTAATTCATTACTTCCTCTACAGAGAGGTTTGCAAGGTTTAATTAAATTTACTTGGTCATATTCAAATAATCCGCAAAGAGAGATAAAAATAGTTTTATTGCAAAGAGCATCATGGGCAACGATTTAATTGAGACAATAGTTTGGAGAGTAGTTCATCAAACAGATCAGGAACATTTCCTAATCCATTTTGTTTGTGACTTCCTGTAGGTCCAATCTATTTAATGTTTGGAATGCATCTGATTTATCAAAACAAATGGGTTTTTGCTCCATTAACCCTGCAGTCACATCTCTGCTTGCTTTTCCATGTTCTGTAAGTAGAGCATATATACATACTTTTGGTGTCCAGCTGAGCCCTATACTTTGTGAAGCCTTTGAGTCGAACTCTCTCGCCCAGCAGATGGAGAAACTCTTCCAGTGCAGGACCAGCTGCCTCGTTGTTGTACATCTCCTCCTCGCTGCTCTGGCCCGCCATGCAGTACATCACCCCCACCTTCCGCTGGAAGCTCAGCTGCAGAGAAAGCGGACGACTTCAATGAAAAGGGAACACAGCAATATTACTTTGCAGAAATCATGACTAAGTAACTGTGTTAACATTTTACACAACACTTGTGTTGGCATTTTAAGAGTAACCTTGAGTTGTTTTGTAGTGATCAGGGTGCCATTTTCCGAAGAAATGACGCTGACATTTCAGAGGTTTCGGCTTTCGATGAGTGCATCAGGAACTGTGAGCGTCAAGGAGCTTGGTTTCTTTTTTGCCATTTTTATTTTTAGGTCTTGGGTTTGGTTATGTGTGACTGTGCATTCACATTGTCACTGAATTTGCACAGTTTATGGGAGTGAACAGATAAATAAAGCAAAACTGAATGAATAATAAATAATTCAGGTCTGCAAAGAAAATCCCCTTCGTGAAAAGAAAAAATACATCTAAAAATGAAATAAATCACCCACACAAGTGATTCATAATAGTCAGGATAAAAAATATTTGCTCACAACAGTCAACAGTTCACTTGATGACTGTGAAACTTCTGCTGAATGGATCGCCTTTTTGATTCAATTATCTCGGCGACAGGATGTTTGAATAATCCTGTCACTTCAGGATACAGAGAGTTGTAATCAAACATGCAAGTCATCCATAGGGCCCACGCTAATACACAAACATCCATCTAAATTTACTGGGCGTGTCTGCTTACCCCCTGCTCGTCCAACTTCATCAGCTGCTCGGTGACCTTCGGCGTGTTGAGGGCCAGGCGTAAGCAGTGGACATTGAGTTCAGGAACGAGGTATTCCAGTACTTCTTTGAGGGGCAGACCTCGGCCCAGGCCATGCTTGGATGTGGATGGCACCGCATCTTCCAGGATGGAACCGCGCAGCGTGTTCAGCTGGAAGCAGAAGGAGACAACCAGAGTCAGGGCCACAGCTTCTCTGTTAAGGTTAAAAAAAGAAATCCTCACAATCAATGGTATTCAGAATCAGGAAATCACCAGACCTGCTGAGAGCCATACAAATAATAAACTATTTACACCAGTTTACCTGCTGCTAGCCTCACAGCCATACATTACATGTTAGGTGGCCAGCATGGCGTTAGTCTGACTGTTAGTCTTTTGTCAAAGGGCAAATGATTCATTCATATTTAAAAATATTTAATTTTGGGAGTGAAATTACACTGTCTTATTACAAGTTATCCATTCAATTGTAATATAACATGATCATAAACAACTAAATGTAGTCTTTAAAAATAGATTCCACCAGTGAACCTTTCTATGATGGTCATGGTCAATGTGGAAAACTATGCAGCTAAAGGCAGAAAATGTATCATTTATACATGTTTTTCTTCTGTAATTTGTTCTATGGTGGCATCCGGGTAAAACGAGCACATGAAGGACAACCATCAATAAATCAGGAGGAGTGTAGAAAGTCCAAGGTCTCAGCAAATAAACAGAGCTAGTAGCCTACAGAGGTCCCAAGGTACTAAGAAGTATCTGTGTTTGGTGTTTGCTCGGTCCAGTGTTGGTGTGCGCCCACAGTTTTAAAGAAAGTGAAGAAGAAAAAATGCTATTAACCGAGGACAGTAGTCTTTGGAGCTTGATGGACACTGAACTTTTTTACTGTGATTTTAGTGCATCCCACTCACTCCCACACTGACGCACACATATGTTTAAGCTCCCAACACTGCAGTTAGAGGGGACACAGGGAGGCAAAAGAAATGAGGACAAATGACACATCGCAAGAGGTTTTGTGCCGTCTTAAAGGACTGCGAGGGCTATTAGCCAGGATGTGCTTCCACACGGGAGCAGCACTTTGCATTCCTCACCCAAATACCTTGAATCTTTTTTTGGTGTCACTTAGCTGCAAAACAGCACTGCTCAGTCTTTCACAGACGCAGGCTGAAAAAGATGGTGGGTGGGCGTTCAGCTGAATGAGGATATCTAGTTCGAATCGGTCTGTCGGGGGGGATGGCAGCACAGGCTAGAGGGATTTAAAAACGATTTCCTCTAACTGCAAACCCACAGATTGAAAATTGTAAAGAGCATATCAAAAATGAGATCGAACGTGCAATCCTTTGAGGTGGAGCTGAGGGGCAGAGACAGTGGCACCTTCAGCTGAAGCCTTTGCATCTTCCCCTCAACTGGGTACAGATCCTGCCTGTTAACTCCCACACAATTTGAACTCATAATAGCCTCTCAGTAACATCACTCAGTACAGAGTGTACTAAATATTGACACATCTAAGAACATGAGAATTTACAGCAGCCAGAAGGAGCAGCTACTAATGCAGCAAATCCTGATGAATCAATCGCTCAGTTAGAAAAAATACCGATATGACGTCAAACATATCAGTATACAAAAAAACTGTAAATGATGTGTCCATTTTAACTCACCTCACTTGTTCTGATGATGACCCTGTAATTGTATTGCTGGCCATGCTCTTTGTGTTCCTCCAGTTTCTCTCTCCTGAGACTCACTGCCACCGGGCCCAGGTTCTCATCGACCCCCAGATAGTTCCAGTGTTCTAGGAGAGATGAGGAATGGAGTTTGAGGCAGGAATGGCCATGAAATTAATGACAGGAAAGAGAAATGACTGCAGACAGATGGAAAACCTGTGTCAGAAAAACTCTTTGAAGAACCGCAAATCTTAAAAGCCTCCTACCTCTGAGATAGAAGTACTTTCTGTAGTAATAGGCACCGAGGTCCACGTGTTCCACTATATATCTTTTGGATCTGTCAGCGTGCTGACTTGGCCCATCTTTGGAAGCCTCCAGCACGGCCACACCAGCATTAGTAAAGTGGGTACTGAGCGTAGCATCCAAAGGTCCCTCCTCTGTGCTGCCAGAGGAGCTGCTGGAGCTCCCACCACTGCCTATGCTGCCCTGCTGGAAGATGGATGACAACAAACGCATGAGGCAAGGAAGCTATCCGTCATCCCATTTTCAAAATGCATTGGGATGTTTTTTTGGAGTAAGCTGTTGAGAACTGCTCCATACTGCAGTTTATATCATGTAAGAATGAATATTTCTTGTAATACCTGTTTAGCGGGACAGATGTTCCTCTCACCCTCTCCACCAATCTCATTTCTAAAACAAGGACAGCTGAGAACCAAATCATTGCTCTTGTCGTCACCAGGATCCAAGGCGGGGTTAGTACTGTGTGAAGATCCTCCCGTACCCTCCTTGCTTAACTCCTCTTGGGAGCCGCAAGGCGAGCCGTACACTCCGCTCTGATTGGACGACAGCGAGGAGGAGGCGGACGCAGAGGCGGCGGCGGCGGCGGAGGCACCGGTGGTGGTGTTCTTGCGTTTGGCCCCAGACTGCCGGCTCTGGATTGCCTCATTGAGGTCGAACAGCAACGACTGGAGGTCGAAATGGGCAAAGCCTTTTTGGCACATCCAAGGTTTAGGAGGTGGGCCACTTTCATCCCCTTTCCCACCATCCTCAGCATCTGAACCAGCCCTCGAGGTGTCACCGTCCACCTTCACGCTGCGCAGCTTGCGAAATATGGATTCGCCGCCCGTTTCTGACTTAGATCTTCTTTTCAAGTGTTTCTCTCGCTCCTTCAGCCGACTGGCAGGGCTACCTCGCGGTGGACCCAGAGGTCCGTCTGGCAGGTCCAGGGCAGCCTGCTTTATCGGAGCCACAGAGAGGAGTTCTGTGAGCCTCTCTGGAGCGGGGCTTCGCTGATCAGGGGCCTCGGAGGACTGGTATCCCTTTAGCATGTCAAAGAAGCTCTCTCCCGACACCCCGTGTTTGTCTATTGACGACGTGCTCCCGTACTCGCGGTGCATGGGTGTCCACCCGGAGAAGGACCAGCCCTCGTTCCCATCTCCATCCAGCTCACTGATGGTTATGTCACTGTTGCTGCGCTGGCGGATACGTCTCATGCCTTTGCGAGGTGAGCCCAGATACCCATCCGGTGACAGGAAGCGGTTATCCTTTCCCTTGCTTTGCATCTTGTTCTTCAGAGTGTTGTGGATGTTTCTCAGCATGGACGAATCTTGTGGGCTTATCAGGTGACCAAGCTTGGCTGACAGATTGCTGTGGGCTTGGACAGCGGACACGTTTCCGCCTCCGCCTCCGCCTCCTCCTCCTCCTCCTCCTCCACTGCCTCCACTGCCACCGCTGCCACCACTACCCATTCCTCCTCCCCCACTTCCTCCCCCTCCCAAAAGTCTTTCTCTGTCCCCACTCCCTGATCCCGAGGAGCTGGTGGTATTGGTAGAACTGGGGGAGTCGGTTTCTACAGTGATATGCCAAACGCCTCCTCCGCCACCGTCTTTCCTTGGGGGCCAGTCGGCCACGCGGGCCCGAACCCCCATCTTTGGGACACCAGGGTTGGTGCCGGTGGTTGAGGAAGAAGAGATATGTGCGCTCTCGCTGCGGGGTGGGGGTGCGCCCCCATTAGGCAGACGGAGACGGCGGGTGTAGAACTCGTCAGTGGCCGGCACGGAGCCCCCGACCGAGCGCTCAGTCTGAGAGCGCTTCAGACTGGTCATGGTGACGGTGGAGAAGGGTGTGGGGAGGGGAGGTGGGAAGGAGAGGTGATGATAAAGTGCTAATCGGTTTAGATTGGGGTCAACATAATGCCCACTGAATTAAGTGAGGAGGGAAGTTCACATTTGTTTCTGCAGAAAGACCAAAGAGGAAAAAAATCCATTTATAGACTTTTCGTTGCTCACCAGGGTTGCCTCATTTCAAAGCACAAATTAACTTAGACTTTTAGGAAAGATTCTTTTTACATGAAATGAGAGATAAAGACGTCATACCTTTAAGAAGCTTAATCTCGATTCAATTTGATAATGTGGAACTTTCAAGCTGAGGTCTCTAAAAAGCCATCTGCTTTAGAATCATGCAGGAGTCCCAACAACTGAGAACAGCTGCAAAGAGAGCCTATGGAGACAAACAAAAAAGGCAGAGAGACACAAGAAGAGTTAAACAAAACATCCTGCAGTATTAAATGTAGCATGAAAACTTAAAAAAACAAAACACTGAAGGCAGCTAACCTTAAAAAAAATCCCAAACAAAGAAGGCTGCACTTTTATAAGCATTACAGACAATATATCTACAGGAGGGATGAGGTTCAGATGAAGTCATCCGAGTCATTTATGTTTAACTGTAAGGTCAGAGGTTAATCCAATTTACTCTCCACTTAAAATCCAATGCCAGGTAATGCTTTATTCCCACTTAGATGAATAACTTCATGTCAGCTATGACAGGAGCCAGCTGTAGACGTTAAGCTAATGTTAAAACTTCAGCGCATGATTAGTCTGTCTGTGGAGCTGCTCGGTTTGATAAATGAGCTGGTATTTTAATAAACTGTCCACACAGAATGTGGTCTCTCTTTGTAGTCTACAAATGTCAAAATACTTCATCATTCGTGACGCAAATCCAGGAAGGAAAGAACAGTAGGCAGAGTTTCACACATATAAATGGGATCACAGGGATTCCCACTGGGAAAAAATGACTTTGGATTAAGCGTGGCGGCTTTTGCAAACAACACAAACTACCGACAGGCACTTTCTTTGACAGCCATGTGTGAGACGAATACATTCAAATATCTGAACTCCTTACTGGAGCTGGTTATAACAAATCCCTTTGAAAAGCCTAAATCAAGACATTACATGAAATCTATTGACTGAAGTGTGTTCTTTAGTTTCCAATGTCGATTGATGTCTGGAAAATGTTAAAGAAGGCCCTGCAAATGAACCTAAATGCTTATTCTGGTTATCGTCGACTTACTCATCAACATAATAATACGATTCATTTTTTACTTTTCAGCAATCAACACTGGTGGCTATGTTTTGTGTTGAGGTATGTCATCAGAATGGAAAAAATACTCCAAAATACTCTGAGCCCTGACACCGAACTGTTAGATACTGTTAGAATTTTTAGAGTCACCAGGGGCATGTGCTCTGAAGGGCTCAGTATGTCACACACAAAAGCCAGAAGAAAAGAGTGCCGCTTATTTAGTCAGCATGACATGCCTGGCCTTACAAAGCGCCGCAGCTTCAGCTTTCCTGACTGCGATTTCCTGCTGGTTTGTCCCGAGTTTTGCACCACCTCTCTCCTAAAACAGACTTTTAGTCACCATGGAGATAAGCAGTCACGTAGAGGGCAAGCATCTGAGAGAGGATAAGCGAGAAACTACCTCCACCTGGTTTATAGATTGAGTGTAGAAGCCATTTAGTTTTGAGACCATTCAAAATGGACTTTCTAATGTTTTAATTGGAACAAGCAAGACTTTGTGTTGAATTATCTTATCCCGGACACTGCACTGTTGAACAGCATGACATCCTAACCCAAACCCCAGCCTGGCCTAAAAAAACACAAGCAACCAGAAATTTAAAAGGATAACTTTTACACATTCAACAGCAAGGTGTTTTAGAAGAACATCAGTCTGACCGATTTGTCACAGAACACATCATTTACAGAAAGAAGTGTGCAAAGTTGGGTGAAGTGAGACCCAGCAAACTCTTCTTTTTCTGAATGACATCTTTCCTCTGTTACACACACAGGTGATCTGTCTCTTCTCGTCCCTGTCAGTACAGACATACCACGGCGGCGGATGCTAGCATATTTAAGGCTACAGGCACACCCACTGTTCTCTCATTATCTGTCATGTACTTATGCTCAAAGAGATAAGCCCCGGTTTCTCTTGTAGGCTGGAAAGCTTTTCAACAGATAACAGGCATTTTGCACAAGTAGCATGCTCATCTTCAACATTCAATCTGAACGCCGACTACAAAAGAATGTGCCAAACAACTAGCTGATAATACTACTGACTTTAGAGCTTGTTGAAGCTGAATATATTTTCCAAACTTATTGTTTCCCCATGCAAAAAAGAAATTACATAAATGGCTTATAATTAAATGGGAAAAAAGGCCAAGAACTTTGCATGAAAACTGCTTCATTTACATAAAATCAATTTGGCATCATACCATAATATTAAAATAATAAATTTATATAGTGTAAGATCTATTGTGTACCTTTATTACGACTTGTTTTTTCCTGTTTTTAGTATGAATATTTTTATAATCTGTCCATTTAGCGTTTCGCGTGTCAATTCAATCCTAAAAAGCATATATGCTTATATTTTACGCCTTTTCTAGAACAAACCCCCCTTTAAGATGACAAGATTACAAGTCAAAAAGTAGCAGCACAGCACTTCAATCTGTTTTGAGCCCATGATGCCTCTGAACTCAAACTCTAATAGTGTGTTCCAAATAACTACCTGCAGTGTGGCCTTTATTTTTTCCCACTGAGGATTGGGTACTGCTCTTAATGAGAGTTGGAGGGAATGAAAAAAACAATGAAAAACAGAGGGAGAGCTGGAGAATAGAGTTTGTGGGGGGGGAATGATTACACTGTGTGCAAGGCTGGGAGACTGGGAATTGAAACAGATGAGTGTGGCGTTGCACATCTTTCAGAAGTCGCTGAGGACCAATTACACTGGCAGATTCACAGTAACCTTTAGCTGTGTCTAAATAAGGTTGATTCCTGAGGTAAATACATAGCATTGCAGCTCAGTGCAGCTTACTGCTGTCCAAGATGCCCATTACTGGAAACCATTTACCGAGGAATGAACTTCCTTCTTACAAACGATAACAAGGGGATGATAAGCACAACACTGAAACACAATTAAACTGATTTTATAAGGCATTTACAGAGAAAACTCTCAAAATTCACAGAGGTATGGCTCTTGATCCCAGCAATGGTACTCAAGCGGCAACAGCGTAACCAAAAACTATTTGGCTCAATGCAGATTGATTTTTTGTAAATGTGAGAACCAAACAAGGAGGGGCCAGAGAAGTGTCAAAGCTATTGGACCATTCCCAAAATAAATATTAGGAATCAATTATCTTTGTCACGCAGCTCTAGAGTTTAAGATCATGTTATTGTAGAGAAATTAAAATACAGAGCGTTACCACAACATTTTAAAGGACAACGAGAGCTTGGGTCCTCGGCTGTTTCCACGTGTCTTGATGAGCCCATTGTTCTCTCCCACATTACCAAATCTGTTAGGGACTATGGACTGAAAATGTCTCATGATCTCATCATCAGGATTGATATTAATATAATATGGATTCAAGTTAGAGATCTTTTAAATCAGCCCATCCTTAAAAGCCTAAAACATAAGCCCACATTCATCATTATCATTAATAGTAAATGGTAAAAAGCCTTTTTTAACACGAGGCTCTGTCGTTTGGACTGGAAACTGCTGACCTCTCTCACGGAACATCGTGAAAAATCCATTAAGGGAGCTTTGCTACAGGGCTACAAGCCCGGGTCATTAGAACCAATGTTATTATGCAGAAAAGATGGCAACAATCTCACTGTGGGCCGTTGCTTAAAATGCTGCCGTCTGCCAGGTCTTGGGGTGGTTGTGAAGCAGCACAGGTGTGCCAGTGCCCACAACCGTGTGACTCTGAATCCGCTCCAGCACACAGTGAGTCATGCACACCTGAAAATTACAGAGCAGATGAGCTGACTGACTAATTGACTGACAGTGCTGCATGCTGAGGAGGACCAGTCATGCAAGCCTCTGAAGAGAGAGCCTATAGAAAGCAGAGTGCTAGGTTTGTGAGGAAATGCATGCTGGTGTGTCCCTGAATGCACAGATCACAATGCTGAATGTATCAGAACCGTTTTCATTAACCAGTATTGGGTTAAAAATGAAGAAAAACATTATCACCATGTGGGAAAATGAGGATAAATGTTTTTCTGCTTTTTTTTTTTTTTTAGGGGAGTTACATCTTGTGTAATTTTACACCTGTTTTCCCACACAGACGTTATTACCACACTGACAGGTGGATCAAGTCACGTCATGTTTTGAACTTCCAGACGAAACATGATGTGCTGGCTTTCGGAATCCAACCACAAAAACCTGTCCTTCCTCAGGTCAGATGCCGTGTGTTTTAGAATGCAGGAAGAGAGACCCCAAATGCCTTTGGACGTGACGAAAATGAACCAAAGCGCAAACCTCAGAGCAAAGTGGACTAAAACCTGGAGGAGACTGAAAAAAGACGAGACTCTGACATAACATAATTTACAAAGGCCCCCAGGGAATGAAAGATCCAGACTATGACTCAGGCACTTAGTGTGAACTTCCATGTGTCTCTTTCCCTGTCTCACACCACAAAAACACTAACAAAGGACTCAGATGATGACAAATGTTGCATCACATTGCTTTCTCTCACCCACGTCAGGCTTCCCAGGCTCAGCATCATCAGTTACCAGTGGCTTTGACGCATCAGTGTAGATGGGAAGGCAACATATTCAGTCATTTTCAAGCTTAAACAAGTACCCAGTAGATGCCGAAAGATTTTTAAGTGCGCCGCAGCTGAGTGTTCAGCATCCACGTCGTCTGTGAGCGTCGAAATGTTGAAGAAAACGCAGGTGCATCAAACTCATTGTGAGCCAAAGTGTGACAGCAGCAGCCCCGCCCTGTTAAACGGTAACGAGCCACTTTAAAGACAAACGGCTTCACATCTGAGTG